ATTCCTTGAAAACATATGAATATACAGGAAGAAATAAAGGCTACAGTGCTTTGTGGGAAAATCTCGGCTGACATCACGAAGAGAACGAGGTCTGTTTCAAAACCTTTGATGGTCAACAGTCACCATTTCCTCTAAAAGTCACAGTTTGTACAAGAATATTTGCTTTTGTTAGACTTGTTCTTCATTTTCTTTTCTTTCTAGCCAAATTAAATAAAAGCACTTATGAGAACTGTAAGTAAAACTTTCTGTATTTCAGAAAGACACAAACTACTAGAAAGTAAAAAGTGAATGACTCACAGAAAATGTAAATTTTGTATAGTATTAGAATGTATAAATGAAGCTTGCTTGGAAGGGAAAAACTTTAAATAAAAACTTTATGTACTAATTCACATGTCTCATAGTCCTCCTTATAAAGTATATGCCCAATGCTTTCTCCATTAAAGTGTTTGAAAGTTTATAATATGTAAATGCCTAAATACTTTTATTCTACAGATATGCTTTACAAGTTTATTTTGCTTCCTCATAGTATATAAATGTATACAGTACCAGGTGATGCTAAGAACTATGAAATACTCTGAAAAATTGTTGTGAGTTAAAAGCCATAGGAGTTGAATCTGATTTTTCCACTAATGTGAATGTTGCAATCAGACACAACTTATTCAGGATCCAACAAACAAATATTTAGACACTATTATAGTCATTGTAGCTAGAACCATGGTATATGTAGAGATATCTATTATATTACTTGCACACTTTTAAAGAATAAGCAAATCACTCATTTAATTCAATCAATTATCTAAACACAGAGTGTTTAATTCTCACTTTAAGTGCCTGACTGACAGGCATTGTGCAGGGCAATTGGAAGACCATGGGAGACGTAGGGGAACCAAGACGGCATGGGAGGTAGTAGCTGGGCGGCTCTCCATGCAGAGAGCTATGCAAGATCAGGAGCCACTGTCTGCAGCCGGTACGCTGGGAAGAGTTTACTACAATGCTTCCTAGAATCTGTTCTGATGTCTCAGTGCTGATAATTAATCAGAACTGACGGGTTTTCTGATATTGCATAGCATCCAGGAAATCCCCATGCATAATGAGGGTTCTTTCTTCTTCTTCTGGATATGCTCTCCATGCTATAAGAAAAACCAAAGGTGGCCTCCACTTGTCATCTTCTTCTGAGCCAGTAGCCAGTTGCTGTGAGGCTTCTTTCAAATACCCTGAAATTCCCAAAACTTTGGTGCTTACCAGGCATCATGAGCAGCTAAGGAAACTATTGAGTCTCGAGAGCCCCCTACAAGAAGCCAAGAGTTTGCTGTACCGGGGATTGAACTCAGGACCTTGTGCTTGCACAGCAGGCATGGTGCCACTGAGGTAAATCCCTGCCCCAGGACTATATCTTCGATTTAGTTAACACTTAGAGGAATTTGGGGTCAAATGAGGAAATATACTGAAGCATCAAAATACAAAAGATTGGGCCAGGGATTTAGCTAAGAGTTTCAGTGGCCTGCCTTGCAAGCACAAGGACCCGAGTTCAATCCCTGGTACCAAAAAAATAATAAGAATACAAAAGATAATGTTTTCTAAGAATATGATTTAAATCCAGATGAACAGGATAGGCACCAGATTATTTAATTAAGCTGTATGTGTGGCCTGAAAATGAGGGTCTGTCTTACTCCTCTCTCACATAAACATATTTTCCCCACTATATGACACATACACCACTTTGCAAGCTGTCACTTATTGTCAAAATGGTCAGTATCAAGTATTTATTGTACATATTCCAAAAGGTATTATTACAAATATCAGACTTCTGATCAAATGTGGTTCTTTCAGTCACATATTCAGAGTTATGTCCTATGTTGTGTTATATCCCAATAAACTCACTGTAAATTGAAAATACTGTAAGTTGCAAATGTAATTAATATACGGAACCTACCAAACATCCTAGCTGAGCAAACTAGTATACTGTAGATCATCATTTGCTTACTTCTTGATCATGTGGCCCACCAGGACCTACAGCTGGCTTTTGCTGCCTAGCATTACAAGAAAATATCACTAGAAATCACTAACCTGAAGAAAGATCAAAAATTAAATTTTGAAATATAGTTTCTACTTGCTTTTGTGACATTTTATAGTTAACAATCACAAGCCAAGCAATGTAAGTCTAGGACACCAGTAGTTAAAAATTAAAAATAAACAAAATGGGATGAGTAAAGCACACCCATGTTGACTATCACATACTGACAAGTATATTGTTAGGCTGAGTTCCCATAGACAGGCATGATCACCATTGATCAAGCTTGATTTCCTAAAAGCACCTGCTGTAGGTGCTTCAACACATTGGTGGAAAATAAAATGTCAATAAGAAGCAGCAGATTGGTCAATGTAAGAAAGATGTGCCCATCCCCATAGTATGTGTGGTTTATGTAACTGTCAGTAAAATAACAAAGAATTACCATTATCAGTTGGAGTTTCTTAACAGAGATGATCTTAATTCATCTGTGCTGCTATAACAGAATTAGTTAGACTGGGTAATTTATACTAAGCAAAATTATTGATTCATAGTTATGGATGCTGAGAAGCTCAATATCAAGGTGCTGTATCTGGCAAGAGTCTTCTTGCTGTAACAGCCAATATATTGATGGTAAAGACACTTTATGCTCAGAAAGAGTATACACTGGCCCCTACAACGGTATTGAGAATCCAATCCAAGGCCTTTGCACTGAGCTACATCCTAGCCCTTTTTTATTATTTAATTTTTGAGACAGGATCTTCATAAGTCGCTAAGTTGTCCAGGCTGTGCTTGAATTTGTGACCTCCTTGCCTCAGCCTCCGAAAGTACTGGGGTTAGAGGTATGTGCCACTACACCTAACACAGAGTATAAACTCCTACAAGGCCAAGAGCTTATAGAGAGCAAAGCTAGGATTGATATCAAGCCTTTAACACATGGTCATTGTCAGACCACCATACTCCTTTGCCTACAAAAGAAATTCTTAAATCATTCATTTTAAATCATTCAGTATTTCCTGGTGGCTCCTTTTTCTATACATAAGTAGAACATACTGGAAGAAAAAGTGAACAATTATGATGTATTCTAGTAAATGCAACTTTGTTGGCGTGGATGGACAACTAGGAAGATTACAGGGACGGGAGGAAATGTGCTCTGTGGTCTTGGAGGATTATTTAGTTCCTCCACCTTCAGTTTTGTCATCTGGATCTGGATCAATAATCTCTTCCTCCAAATGTTATTATGAAGACCAGATGTAAAGTATATGAAAACAAGTTATACCTTGCAAGGTATGTATGTAT